GGCGCTGTTTCAGACGCCTCCCTAGCATGGTGCTGAAGTGTCGCAGAAGCTGAGAAGGGTGGGCTGTGCTGCGGGTAGGTGTGGGTGGGGATGCTTTGTGTTAGATACACTTGGGTGAGCCCCGGTTTTCCGTGCTGTCAGTCATGAGTCTCGAGTGAATGAATCCTGCTATAGATTAAAGAAGGGGCAGAAACACATGAAGCAACAGATGTGGAAGGTCATGGAGAGACAAAAATCAGACCAGACTCGCAACAACCTAACCCTGCACGCCCCCCGGGAGCCTACACCCACTGCCGTGGAGTTGATTCCCACGCCTAGCACCCCACATAGGGTTCCCGACGCCTAGCACTCCACATAGGGTTCCCGAGGCTGAACGGGGATCTTATGGGAACACAGCCTCGGTTTTCTCCCCGAGAACGGCTTCTGGGCTTGAGCCACCGATCTTGTGGTTAACAGCCCAGCACTTCCACAGCAGCACCACCAGAACAGTGGCTCGGTGCTCTCGGATTCAGTGTTCTCGACAGCGCTGCCTGTAGCGAGGATCCCTGGGGGCATGGTGGGCTGGGTGTTGAGCTGCTAGGCCCCCAGGTTGGCAGTTTGAACCCACCAGGCACTCATTGAGAGAAAGATGAGACTGTTTGCTCCTGTAGAGATTTGCAGCCTGGGAAACCCACAGGGGTCACCCATCCCTGTCTTTCAGGGTTCTTCTAAGTCAGAATCGACTCACTATCAGTGAATTTGGTTTGGTGTGACTTTTGTGGGCCCACCCATAACAAGCTCTGGAATCCTCTGGCTTTGGGGTGGGTGGGACACAAGGTGGGTTGTCTACAGAGGGCTCCCTGGAGTAAGGGGCCCTTCAGTAATGGCGGGGTGAGGTGGGGAAAGGCAGGACAGTTTACAGGCCAATGAGCAAGGACTCTCTGGTTGTGCTAACCTCAATGAGCACTCCTCTGATCTGGGATGGCAACCCCACCCTCTCAATGCCAACAGGGTAGAACTGCCCCATGGGTTTTGGAGACTAACTGTATACGGGAGCCACATCAGGCTCCCTCAGAGGGGCTAGGATTCAAACTGCTGACCTTGCAGTTAATAGCCCATTGTGTAACCCAGGACGCTGCCAGGGCGCCCACCCCTACCACCGAGGTGGGAGAGCAGTCTTGGCAGGGATTTGATATGCTTTTTTGTTTCATTTAATCTTTTTTTTTTTTAATTTTCTTGGGGATGTTTTTGCCCTGTCACGGCTTCCTCTGCTGGCGAAGCCCCTTTTGAGAAGGGAAGTAGGGCTTGGAACTCCCCCTTCTCCAGCCCAGAAACACACTTCCTTTTCCAGGGAGCTTCCCGGGCCTGGGTGGAGGCCCTTGGAAGGCTCCGACTCCCCACCACCAGGACACGTGGCCCTGGGAAGCCCCTGGCCAGCTGTTCCGTTCTTTTCCTTGTCCAGTTGACGGGCTGTGGTGTAACCCGCTGCACAGAGCCACCGGGACACCCCTACCCACCCCATCACGGCTCTTCCCCAGGAACACAGCCTCCCCGCCCTCCTCGGACCCCGCCCTCTGACAGCTCAGTCACCCCCAAGCGAGCCACTGCTGTTTTTGCATCTTGAATCCTGTTGGGGTGAGGGGCTGGCACCCCAGAGATGGGGCTTTCTGAAGAGGGAAACGCAGGCCAAGAGAAGTTGGGGGGGCGGGGGGGAATGCATTTCAGTGGGTCGGAGGCCCAACAGGAGTAAAGGGGAGCCCTGTGGGGCAGGGGTGCCACCTCCTGGACATAGTTCTGACTGTGGTCTCCTCCCCCACAACCTGCTGGGGTCGGGGTGAGGCGGGCAGGAAGAAGGCGCTGTGTCTCCACCCTCCCCAGACCCTGGGTGGGGGTAGGGGTGGGGGGCTGCTATGGGCAGAGGTCTCTCTTTGAGGCTGTGAAGCCTTTGAACCATGGACCAAAAGCCCACATTAAGCCCTTGGCATGGGGGGAGGGCGGGCAGCTCGCTGCGAGGTCCACGCTGGGCCCCCCCTCGCACCCAGCCGCTCCTGTCGTCTGTCTTGCAGCACGGGCAGCAGTGACCCCTACTGCATCGTGAAGGTGGACAACGAGCCCATCATCAGGTACCGCTCCCCCACTCGCCCCCGGGGCTCAGGCTGGGCTTCCTTCTTGAGCACTGAGCACACACACCCTTCCTCCATTTACTTTCCTGCTTATCCCATCTCCCCGGCCTGACAGCCTGCCGGGCAGGGACTTTGTGCAGGGAGGGGTGAGGGCTTGGAGAACTCCCCTGGGACCCCCCAGCGGGTCCTGCCGTGCCTCCTAGGACAGCCAGCCTGCTAATCACAGGCCTGAACACTTGTCCAGGGATTATCTGGGACCGGGGCGCTGGACCAGGAGCCTCTGGCCGGGCTCCAAACACCTTTGCATTCTTTACAGCCCTGTGCGGGACAGGTGCTGGTTGTGATTGGAACCCGGTAACAATGCCTTCCTTTCCTCAGGCATTGTCTCTTCACTTCAGACAACGGGGCCGGGTAGTAGAGGGAGAAACAGACTTACCGAGGAGGAAGCTGAGGCTCAGAGAGACTGCTCGACAGGTCACCTACCTAGCAAGGGGCAAAGCCAGCCTGGAGCCCAAGTCTCCATTGCTGGCCCCGGCCCATGCTGAAGCCTCCCTCCCTGGGCAGGGCCTCTGTCTGTCCTTAGCTTTGCTTCCAATCCCAGGCACCAAGGAGGGAGAGGGCCATACGGGGCCTCAGTCTCAGTGACAGACAGGGACACTGAAGCCCTGGAGCTCAAGTGTGGCCTTCCTGAGTCAAGGGTGGTTCCTTGAGTATTGATCCTAGTCAACATGCAGGTGCACACACACAGACACACAGAGACACAGAGACACACACATACACACAGACACATGCATACACAGAGACAAAGACATACAAATACAGAGACAGACAGATAGACACATACACACAAAGACAGACACACACACACACAAGTCACAGGAACTGAAAACTCGCACCCTCAGGGGTTTGGAGAGCGAGGCGAAGACCCCTGTCCCCGACAAGACTCCCTGCACCCCAGCCCCTCCAGAGTGAGCATAGCCCCCTGCGTCCACCCTGGGGGAGTCCGCTCAAAGCATCAGGACTGGGGGGGCGGGGAGCTGGGCGGCCAGCTCTGGGCTGTGCTGTGCAGCTCACATGCCAGCTGGCTGCGGCCCCTCTAGTGTCTGTTCCTCCAAACGTAGGGTGACTCAAAAGATCCAGCCCTCTGGCCCACGCAGGCTGGAGGGAACTCAGGGGGCATGAGGGATGGTGGAGGGGGGGCCTCTGGGAGAAGCAGCAGCAGCGGTCACACAATGAGCCAGCTGTCACTGCTCGGGGTGAAGAGGGTGTGTGGACGATGGTCCCCTTCACCCAGCCCCGCCTTGCTCTGTGGGGTCCAGGCATGGGCTGGCCAGGCAAGGGGCTGAGGCAGCCTCCTCTTCTCCAGGACAGCCACCGTGTGGAAGACCCTGTGTCCCTTCTGGGGCGAGGAGTATCAAGTCCACCTGCCGCCCACCTTCCACTCCGTGGCCTTCTATGTCATGGATGAGGACGCCCTCAGGTGGTGGGGCTCACTCTTCTCCTGGGGCCCGGACCCCGACATCAGCCCCCCTCCCTGACCCACTTCCCCGAGGGTTCTGCTGGGTACTTGGGATCCTCCTGTCAGCCCTTCCGTGTGTCCTCCCGGAGCCAGAGGGACGGGGAGCCCAGGAGGGGTTGGTGGTTCTGGGTGGGAGTGTGGACCCAGGGTCCCTGTACCACATCATACATGTGCACACGTGGAAACTGTGTGTGTGCGCCCGAGTGAGCCATGAGCTTGGCATGTGCGTGGGCACACATGTTGGTCCATGAGTAGAAGCAGCGCACACCCATGTGTGTCCAGAACCTCATCGTTAGTCCTGTCCTGCCTGGTGGGCACCCCCACTGGTGGCTGCAGTAACAGCAGTGTGCTCCTCAGGGCCCGAACTGGGTGGGAGGGGGTCCTGGGCTCCCCAGGAATAGGCGCTATGGCCCCACCCAGCTCTGACTTCCTGCCCCCCACCCTTCCCTCCAGCCGAGATGACGTTATAGGGAAGGTCTGCCTGACTCGAGACACCCTGGCCGCCCACCCTAAGGGTAAGACCCCACAGGAGGGAGTCTGAGGCCAGCTCCTGCTGCCCCAGCCCCAATCTCCCTCTCTACCTCCTTGTCCCATCCTTCCTCCCACTGAGACACTGTGGCTTGGCTCCATCAGCCCATACCAGCCCCCCTCCAAAGCCGGTGGCCCTCTCTTGACCCCCCTGCTGTTGGGCCCCCCTTTTAGCCTCTGACTTGGGAGCGCGTCTTTAGGATGAAGGGCTGCGGCTGCTGCTGGTGTCTGAGGTTGCTGCAGCCACTGCTGAGAGAGGGGACCCCGCTTCCCCACTGGACAGCTCCTTCTGAGGGTTGGAAGGCTCCGGACGCTGACCCAGCCACTCTGTGTCCTGTGTGTCTAGTCCATCCCAGTGAGGGCTCAGACCAGGAGCTCGGGGGAAAGCGGAGGGGAGGTAGCGACCTGTGCAGCGGGCACCCCTCCCAGACTCTGAGCTCCGGGCACACACCTGTTCCTGTCCATGAGGCTAGGATGGGCATGGGGGGGTGGGGCTGTGCTGACTCATGGGACAGCTGGGCCCCGCCAGGCTGGAGGCCACTCCTGTCCAGCCTCAGCCAGAGCCTCTGGGCCACCCTTAGGTCCTTTGCCATCTCCTGTCCAGGACTCAGGCCCCCAGTGAGAGGCACTGCCCCTCTGCTCTCAGATGGGGAATGGAGGCCAACCGGGTGACAAGTTGGGGTTGGGGTTGGGGCTGCGGAAGGCAGCGAGGCCATTGGCCCTGGGGTCCCCGGGACTTGGATTCCCACCTGCTGGGAATTCACTTCTGGGCCTCAATTTCCCCATCCGTTGCCAGGAGGCACAGCCCCCACCCCAGAAGGGCAGGAGAGGATTTTGAAGAGATTTGGGAAGGGTGGGGGGACACCAAGGTTGGAGAGCTGGGAAGGTGAGGACCAGCCTGGCTGAGCCCACCCCCCGCATCCCACAGGTTTCAGCGGGTGGGCCCACCTGACGGAGGTCGACCCTAATGAGGAGGTGCAGGGTGAGATTCATCTGCGACTGGAAGTGGTCCCCGGGCCCGGGGGCCCCCGACTACGCTGCTCTGTGCTGGAGGCCAGGTGGGGACAGGGCCTGGGCCTATGGGGACCCACCACCCTGGGGAAGCCCGGGCTTGGTGCCCAGGCCTCTGCCCACACAGCTGGCTCTGGAGAGGGGCCCAGGCTCCACCTGGCCTGAAGGTGTCACCTGCGTGACCTGCTGGGAGCTTGGCCCTTTAGGAGATGAGATGGCATTTTGACAGTGGGACTCCAGGAGTCATAGGGAGGATTTGCTCCACACGAACTTGGCATAGGGGGTGGGGTGTGAGAGAGATAGAAGAGAGAGATCCTAGGCAGTGTGGGAGGAGGTGTGTGTGTGTGTGTGTGTGTGTGTGTGTGTGTGTGTGTGTGTGTGTGTGTGGTGGGGAGGGGTCTTGGCAGTGTGGGAGGAGGTATTGTGTGTGTGTGGGGGGGGTCCCCGGCAGCGTGGGAGGGTATGTGTGTGTGAGAGAGAGGGAAGGGTCTTGGCAGTGTGTGAGGATGTGTGTATGTGTGTGTGCATGCATGTTTGTGTGCATTCGGCAGACAGAGTGGAGGGCAAGGGGAACTGCTGGGAATCTCCAGATGGCCTGGGTGGGGAGGGGGTCCCCTGAGCAGGGGCAGTGACTCCCTCCACTGGGTAGGTGGGTGCTGCCTGAATTGCCTGCGACTGCTCTGCCCACCCACCCAGATATTCTTAGCTGCAGGCCCACCCTGTCTGGGCCTGGGTGTGAGTCCCTCCAGGCTCTAAGGCCACCTCCACAGGGTCCAGCCAGCCCCGTGGGGCAATGTGCTCAGGTGGGTGAGGCGTCCCCTCCTGTCACAGGGGGCCGGAAGGAGCGTGGGGATTCTAGGCCCCCCTGTCTTCTCCTCCCACACACACCCCCGCTTTGCTTTCACTCTGGAGTTGGACTGGGGGGTGACAGGGGGTGCAGCCTGGTGGAACTCAGCTGCCTGTGTTCTCCTGACACCCAACACTTCCTCCCATGCCAGCCCACACCCGCCAGGCCGCCTGGCCTGGACAGTGGCCTCAGGACCTCTGCCCACAGCCAGCCCCCATGGTGGGGACTACCCAAGAGTCCTTCCCCCGCACCCCACTCCCTTCAGGAAGCGCCTTCCTCAGCCCTCTCCTCTTGAGACTTGGGGACACAAAGGCCGGGCCAGTCTGGCCTCAGGTGTCATGCAGTGCTGAGGAAACTGGGGCTCACCTTCCCTGGGGACCCCCTCTCCCATCAGGTTGGAGAATCTTGTCTGGGCAGGTGCCATGTAGGGCTTAGCGGGACAGTTGTCATGGGTATCAGGGCCCAGAGGTGAATCACCCTGTTTGAATGGGCTGCCCAAGGAGCCCAGACCTTTCCCCAGGTCCAGTCACCCCAAGGTGGAGGGTAGAAGTCAGGGAGGGAGGGGCTGGGGGGGGCTGGGGAGACAAGTCATTGGCCGCCTCCTTCCCCAGGGACCTCGCCCCAAAGGATCGGAATGGCGCCTCGGACCCCTTCGTCCGAGTGCACTACAACGGTCGGACACAGGTGACCTCGGTGAGGGGACAGAGAGGCTCAGGGACCTGTCAGCCTCTACTGCTGGCATCCCAGTGGGTCGTCAGCCAGGCAGGGGTCAGGGCACGGGCGCCGAGCCACCGAAGTCACCCACACTGCGTCTGGGAAATGGCCGGGATGGGAGCCTTGGCCTCGCAGGGGGTGCCGCTGGGCTGCTATGTGGTCTTGGATGACTCCCTCCCCCACTCTGGGCCCTAGGGTCCCTACCCGAGAAATTGGGTGGGAGGGTGGAGAAGTGGACAGGAAGTTGTTACTTCTGCCTGGCCCCAGGAGAGGAATGGTATCAGGGCCTACTGCTGAAAACCCTGTGGGTGGTCTGGTGGGTGCTTTGCCCTTGGCTGGGTCTAGGGGGCCCCTGAGGAGCCAAGCCCCCCCCCACTGAGCCCCCTTTCTGGGCAGATCGTGAAGAAATCTTGCTACCCGCGCTGGAACGAGGCGTTCGAGTTTGAGCTGGAGGAAGGGGCCGTAGAAGAACTCAGCGTGGAAGCCTGGGATTGGGACTTTGTCAGCCGTAATGACTTCCTGGGCAAAGTGAGCCGCCCTGTCCCCCCA